TTATTAACTATATGCTTATACAACCAGTGTAAACTGGTGCAGTAGGTACTTGACAGGATCTGTATTACACTAAAATATTATTAAGTATGTACTTATACAACCAGTATAAACTGGTGCAGTAGGTACTTGACAGGATCTTTATCACACTAAAATGTTATTAACTATATACTTATACAGCCAGTGTAAACTGGTGCAGTAGGGTACTTCACAGGGTTTGTATTACACTAAAATGTTATTAACTACATGCTTATACAACCAGTGTAAACTGGTGCAGTAGGTACTTGACAGGATCTGTACCACACTAAAATATTATTTACTACATGCTTATACAACCATTATAAACTGATGCAGTAGGTACTTGACAGGATCAGTATCACATTAAAATATAATTAACTATATGTGTTTACAATTAATATAAGCTCCAGTGCAGTAGGTACCTGACTAAGATCAGTATCATATTAAAATATGATGTAGAATTTTTCTTGAATTTCCAAGTGTTATATTATGTTTAAAAGAAATAAGTTTGACTTGAAGAAAAACCCAATTTTCCTGGTCATAACCTTCCAGTACGCTATGCCTAAAATTTATCCTTGTCACATCTTTCCAATATTCTATATATAAAACTTCATTTGGCCATACCCTTCCAGTATTCCATACATAAAATTTCAACTGGTTGTACCCTTCTAATATTCTATATATAAACATTTATCCAGGTCACACTTCTCCAATATTTTCTGTATATAAGTTATCCTGGCTATACCCTTCCAGTATCTCATACATAAAATTTCTCCTTTCAGTTATTTGGTACATTTATTGTGATCACATCTTTCTAGTATTCTGTACATCAAACTTCATTCAAGTGCAGTAGATTCCCCAAAGATATTCACCTAAATGGAAATAGCACACAAGCACAGTTGTTCTAATCAAAGTCAGACGTTACCTAACATAGTTATTGACAAGCGCAGTTGTTGTAATCAAAGTCAGACGTTACCTAACATAGTTATTGACAAGCGCAGTTGTTGTAATCAAAGTCAAACGTTACCTAACATAGTTATTGACAAGCGCAGTTGTTCTAATCAAAGTCAAACATTACCTAACATAATTATTGACAAGCACAGTTGTTCTAATCAAAGTTAGACGTTACCTAACATAATTATTGACAAGCAAAGTTGTTTTAATCATAGAAGTCAAACGTTACCTAACATAATTATTGACAAGCACAGTTGTTTTAATCATAGAAGTCAAACGTTACCTAACATAATTATTGACAAGCACAGTTGTTCTAATCATAGACGTCAAACGTTACCTAACATAATTATTTACAAGCACAGTTGTTCTAATCATAAAAGTCAAACGTTACCTAACATAATTATTGACAAGCACAGTTGTTTTAATCATAGAAGTCAAACGTTACCTAACATAATTATTGACAAGCACAGTTGTTCTAATCATAGAAGTCAAACGTTACCTAACATAATTATTGACAAGCACAGTTGTTCTGATCATAAAAGTCAAACGTTACCTAACATAATTATTGACAAGCACAGTTGTTCTAATCATAAAAGTCAAACGTTACCTAACATAATTATTGACAAGCACAGTTGTTCTAATCATAAAAGTCAAACGTTACCTAACATAATTATTGACAAGCACAGTTGTTCTAATCATAAAAGTCAAACGTTACCTAACATAATTATTGACAAGCACAGTTGTTCTAATCTTAAAAGTCAAACGTTACCTAACATAGTTATTGACAAGCACAGTTGTTTTAATCATAGAAGTCAAACGTTACCTAACATAATTATTGACAAGCACAGTTGTTCTAATCATAAAAGTCAAACGTTACCTAACATAATTATTGTTTAACATCACTTAAAATACTGATCTTGTTTGCTTTGTAAACGCCCCCAGTGGCACAGCGGTATGTCTGCGGACTTACAACGCTATCATCCGGGTTTCGATATCCGTGGTGGGCAGAGCACAGATAGCCCATTGTGTAGCTTTGTGCTTAATTACAGACAAGCAAATAATTCTTTGAAAACCATTTTAAAACTAAACTGTAAATTTAGCTACACGTATAAATCAAATAATAGATAACAGACTGAATCTTCTTAGCCGTTTTTGCCCAAATTTGATTAACAAGTTTTGCGGGATTATTTAAAACTATTGGCTATACTTATAATAGTTAACCATTATAACACTTTGCCTTTTATTCCATCAAAAATTTGAGACTAATATTCATGTACGTATAGGCTTTGGCTATTTTAGTGTTGATGTAATTTAGGAATTATTGGTGATACAGTTATTGTAAGCGTACAACGTGCATTTCATTTTGTTAATTTTTATAATCGTGTAAAATCAGTGGGCCAAATTGTTTTAAGTTAAATAAAGGATTCTGTTTTGCAGTATCGCTAATGTTTACGGTTTTATCATATAGACCAATTGTTGGTTAAAGTTCTTGTGGTCTTTAGTGAGATTGAAGATGTCTGTTTAAAACTGAACAGTTTACTTCAACCTTTCTCAGTCTGTGGTCCCCTCAGGTGGTTCGTGAAAGGTTACATATTGTATAGATCCCGTTGTAGTCCGGCGATATTATATATATGTGGTGGTTCGGGTACAAATAAAGTTTGAGAACTACTGATCTATGTTATAGAAAGTATTGATTTTAGAAACTGTGTTATTGTAGTGCGGGGTATTATTTTTATGAAAATTACCTGTATTCTAAACAATACCGAACAACTAGTGTGTTGTGTTTATGTTTCTCTGTTACCATAGAAACTTATGACACAGATCGAAAGCAGTCTTTGTTTGTTTGTAAGTATATTTCTGTATTCATGATAATATCAGGGTATAGTGTTAAATATAAGTTTTAATACTGTTATTCTTTTAATATTGTTGTTTAACATATCAGCAACTAAAACGAGTATTATATAGTTCAGGGTGAATATCATATCAAAATAGTACCACCGCTTGTTCTGCGTCGCGTGAAAGAATTAAGCCTATAGTGAGTCAGGTGGATAGTTCCTCTAGGTTTAAGAACTAAAAATGCACCGTTAAATCATTTATGATGTAGGCAGAGTCCATGTTGAAACGTAGTTGAACCATTCGTGTATATTTTGGATTGTTGTATAATGTAATTCGCAATGAAAAATATCATATTTTTCTTTCCTGATCATCAAAACTCTTGGAAACATCACTAACTAGTATATTTCGAAACATCCTATACGCAGTGGTACCGTGAAGATCCTTGTTATGAAGAATATAGGTTAGAAGCTATAAATCTGACATGCACTTTTTATGTAAGTATGCACATTTCGTGGCTTCACTTATAGGCTCTATGTTTATAGATATGGTTGAGGTGCATTTAATCAAAGTAAGAAAAGTTAGTTTTCATGAACTACTCTGTTTTGCAATAATATTTTTCATATATTTGAAATCTAATAAAGATTCATCGTGATGTTTTTGCTGTTCTCATACTGTGATATGGTTTAAGCCAACCGTTGCTATGTTATAACAGTTGCTAAGTTATTATGCTACCTTAAATAATAATCAAGTTTGGAGAA